AACAGTGGTTATATTCTGAAACTGGGCATTTATGAAAATTCATAAGTCAATGTGAAAATCTTCTGATATTAAAATTCATAGCAGGCTATAACAAATCATTGCATGAGAACTATCCTTCGTTCTTCCTACCACATTTGATCAATCTGGGACTACTTTTGGCCTCTACAGATTTTTGTCTAATTCATATAGTCACCAAACTATCTACTGTGTTTGCAAAAAGATCCCACAAACATGGGCAAATTACATGCATGCAGGATCCACTTTGTAGTCTACCAGAGCCCAAAGCATGGCAATGTTACATTATCTGAGACAGAATTCCCAGAATCAAATTAAACATAGCAGTTCTGAGGGCACAGCTATATATCTACTGTAGCTTATGAACCGAGATAATTTGTATATACAGGGCCAGGCAAGATATTATGCTGTCAGTAACAAATGCTAAAATGTGACCCTTTGCACACAGGGAAATCCATAGTGATATTTTGGACTTTATTTTAACACTGGTGAAAGGATGGTGTTCTCCATCACATCTGGGACAGCAAACTAGCCTAGAGGGAACAAGTCAAGTTGTATAACATTGACAGCTCTATCTTCTTAATATTTCCCTGCTGCTCAGCCCTCTGCTTACCAACATTCAACATCTGTGGTAGGTCCCTCACTATGCCTAATAGTAGGGCACTGTGAATATTGATTCCCCAGTTTCAATGGTGAATCCACTCCAGGATTTAGCCTCAGCTTTCAGGAGCTAACCAAAGTGTTGAACTTAATCCCCAAAAAAGGTTTTGCACCTTGAATAGCTCCTGTGAAAGTTCAGGACAGAACCAGGAGTGGATTTACCCTGTGTAATCAGGGCACTAACCTCCACTGGTAGGACCACCCCTGTGCCTAATATAAATAGGTGTAATTCTATGCCAAACTTTTATATAGACCAGAGACTGTAGTAGCCCAATTTAGAGGGGCGGAGGTATTAAACAAATCAGCCAGCAATCTGCTAGATAATCCTGATCTACCTTCTTCCTACTTCTGTTTTATGAAAGTGAGCCATCAGGACTGAATGTGCATAGATAACACCATAATTAATTGGGCATACTATATGCCAATTTCCCAGTATTCTTGCCCTTTCAAAAAGGTAAGGGTCTGCTATTGATATAACTGAGGAGGGGGCGAAATGCAGGGAATATTATGGGTTTAGGTCAGACTCATTCACATATTTTCCCATTGATCAGACAGCACAACAGGAAATGCCAATTAGCTCAGAGTCCCAGAGCTCCAACCCATAGTCTTTCCTCCCCACCAGAGACCTTTTAATTGTTTGAAGTTGAATCTTTTTGCTTTGGCTAAAAGCATGTGATCTCTTTGAACCAATGCAGAAAGACTGAGTGAGCAGCCGTATGCAGCCACACACAAAACAGTGCTTTGACAAAGCACCTTCCTCCTCACTTCTTGCCTCTTGAGGGAAGAAAAGGACCTTGAGTGTGTGCACACACACCAACGTACACATATATACAAGTACAGTGGTGCCTCACATAGTGAGGTTAATCCGTTCCAGATTAACCCTTGCTATTTGAAAACATCACTAAACGGAACATAAAAACCCATTGGAACGCATGAAACATCGTTGAATGTGTTCCAATGGGCCTTAAACTTACCGTTCAGCGAAGTTTCTTCCATAGCGGCAGCCATTTTCGCGCCCTCGGTAAGCGAGAGGAGGGCGCGAAAACGCTGCGCGTGGCCATTTTGGGCATCCAGTGGCCATTTTAGAACCGCTGAACAGCTGAGCCGCGGGCATCGCAAAGCGAAGATCGGTAAGCGAAACGCTTACTGATCGTCGCTATGCGAGTTTTGCCCATTGGAACGATCGGTATGCCTCCGCATTAGTGATCCCGAAAAGGGGATCGCTATGCGGATTCGTCGTTGTACGGTGCGCTCGTTAAGCGAGGCACCACTGTAGTACCAGCACTCACCCCTGTCCACAGATATCCTCTCCCAAGATATTTCTTCTTCTTTTTAAACATATTTTCTTGCGTGGCCAGTCTTACTTGTTTATTTTTTTTCTAACAGCTTAATGAGCTCTACAAGCCGGTAAGTTAAGATACAGAAATAAGTCATTAAGGAAGGAAAACTTTTAACCATGGAGCTATAGGAACTTCAAATGGAACTACAATTAGAAGAATTTTTTCTCCTGCCTGTGTAGCCACTTATGCCAAAGAGAATTTAATGTCCCGGTTCAACTTAACAAGAGAGTAAGAGTTATTTGACATTTCCCTCATTGTGCAGGACGGGAAACGTCACAATGAGTGTACTATTTGAAGCACCTCTTTGAAGACTACATATCCCAACATACAATGTTCCTTTTTGATCTGACTTGCCTTGTGCAACCTAAAACAGCATTAGAGCATAACAGGTCATCACATGGGATCATCCAATGTCTTTATTAATTTCAATTCTTTGCAAAAGGACAGCTGATAACCATCCTTTTCATATAAGCCTTGGCAAACTGTTAGCATTCCTATTGGCCGAGCCAAGCCTGCAAGCCTTCCTCCCAAATGTGGCAAGTAGGTAGTTAAGTGTTAGACCGTATTTAAACAAATATGCAGTAAATATTTTGTTTCAAGGGGAAAACATTCAGAGTATTTCCCTTTGTTTCTTTCCTACCTTTTCATGGAAGATGATCTCATGTAAATCAGTTTAAAAGGGAACTTACTTGATGCTTTGATGCAATAGACCAAAAGCTCGCATTACTGTCAACCATCAAAGACACTGCCGTAACCTAAATCCATGCATTTAGGAACATAATTTCTAATCAATGTCAACGGTCTAATGGAGGAGGAATTGCCTCACCAAGAAAACACACAGAAACATTCACATATCCATAAGCAAAATCAAGGCTCGCATCATATTTTGTGAACTTAGATTACAGCAAATAGGCAATAAAATACTTTCTCTAGGATTTAAAAACATATACAGATGCAAACTACCATAACTTTAATGTCCCGACGATATTGGTGTCAACTATTTTGAAGTAACTTTTTCATGTCCACTACAGCCTGGGCATCACCCCCATCTCACTTGCTTGAGATTAAAACTGGAGTCATCACAGTTTTCTTCAGCAGGTGAGAAAAGGAAGAGACCATTGTACAAATGAGACAGAAGTTACCGATCCTGCCTCTGCTGTCATGGCTTCAGGACAATGAAAGGCACAGCCACCTGAAATACCTTCACTCTCTCTGGCGTCAAACATTAGCATGACATTGCTCCTTTCATCCAAGCAGAGCTTCTCCAGCTCAATGCACTTCTAGATGGAAGGGACACAGCACAGACTGATTCTAAATCAAGATTGTGTGGCTTTTTGGCTGGAAAAACAGAAGATTTGTGTATTCTTGTCTACTGAGCACATCTACAGCCTTTGAACCTTCTACACCCCTGTGCAGGAACAGTACTTGTTTGAGCCAAAGGATCTGGTACATCTGGAAGGGAATCACATCCAGATGTCATGTAGCATTTTGAGATTTATTTTACTTAGGTCTGTACTAAGCAGCCCGAATTTTAATTAATCTGCTGACGTCCTCAGAAAACGCTTGCTGAATGGCCCTCCCAGTTCACAGTCTTCTTGCTGCCAATTTTTCTTGCTAGCCAGACGGTAACTAAATGTTCAAGAGGACCTTACATGTCACAAGCCAAGGCTGCCCAGCAAACCTCCATCATACCCTAAAAGAAAGAAGACACTCTGCAGCCTTCCCCAAGCTGGTGCTCTCCAGACATACTACTTCCAACACGAGATGGTCACTCTAAACAGAGCGTTTCTATATAAAGCAGCTGACATTCCTGTGAAGAGATAAGCCACCTGGCCAGCTACCACCAGGAGTGGTGAACTCTGCCGACACCCCCAACCATGAGCAAGTACTCATCTAAGAAGAGAGGCAGGGAGGAGGAGGAGGCATTGGTGGCAAGATGATGAACAGAGTGGGGTTGGTGATGACCATCTGCCTGGAGAGAAGCTGGCGAAATTTGCTGCTCCCAGATTCCTGCCACCTAAGGCAGCTGTACTGCCTTGCATAACAACAGGACTGGCCATGCTAGATAGGGGATATTGGGACCTGTAGTCCAAAACAGCACCTTTTCCAAACTCTGAAAAGAGGGTTGCCCCTGCTCGTGGTGGAGATGAGAATACTCGTTTGCATTTTTATTTTACACATATATGTATTTCAGCTTTGTAATACCAGTTACTTAGCACAGAAACAAAACTTTTATAGAAAGAAGTAGGAGCTCACCCTGTCCTTAGACTGACTAAAATAAACCCACTGTCTGTATTTCAAGGAAAAGGAAATGAAACTGTCAGAAGTGAAAGGAATTAGTATGTAGAAACTTTTCTATGGTTAGCAGTGCCTTAATTAATATTAATTTTTAATTATAAGAATAGTAAAACAAACTGAAGAGACAAGGTTAGATTTTTCTATGTGGATTTAGACACCCAACTCAAGTAAAGTTGGATTGCATTCTGGAAATGTTGAAGAAATATGGAAAGTTTGCATTTTAATATCACATAGGAATCCCTTTTTTAAAACAGCAAAACATTTCAGGGCCTAATTTAAAACCTGTCAGTTGGCATCCATCTTTGGAAACCAGATATTAACATAGGCCTGTTCCAGATCTTCTTAAAATGGCTGTGTATTAAAACCTGTATCAACAAATTCGGGATATATCCTTCTTTAAATTTAGACTTTACTCTCCATGAGAAGTTCAGTCAGCTTATACTCTTTGGTGGTCTTCTGTCCAGGCTCTGGTCATCTCCAGCTATTTCCTAGGGCTCTTAAATGAATCGTAGCTGGACATTAGGGCAAGTGGGGACCTGCCCTCCCCTGCTTTGTGGCTATTAAGGGTGATAGAGGCAACCCTTTTCTTCTCAGTAGAAAGTCAATTTTGATAGCGTGGAACCCTAAGGAACCAACCTCAGAGGCTATTCTTCAGCTGAGTGATAACTGAAGTTAAAGACTTGCCATTTCAAAGAAGAAGGGAAGAAATCCAAAATCAGTCAGCCTCAGCTACTGTTGCCTTTGACTTCCCATCCACTGGCCCGCTCTGAAAGTCCTGATCGGCACCAGCTGCTGTGACCATTAATTGGGCTCAGGCTTGGCCAGCCTTGGTATCTGCTTGTGAAGCCCAATGCTAATTTTATCTCAAATGTGGCCTTTGAAGACAAAGAAAAGACTCTGTGAATACAGTTTATTCCTGTCCGCATGATCCCTTGGCAAACAAGAAGTTGGACCTTTTCAAATCACTTCCGTGCATCACTTTAATGCATCCCTATGCGTCCACGCAAACAGTCAAGGGCCTTGAAGTCATAATGACCTTTTTGGATTGCATGAAGAAATAAGGAAAACAAGTGAACATCACAAAGTCACCAGCAACTTTGCCTGGAGCACCAAACTTGGCATTATACTTTAAGGTATGTGGCGTGAGAGTTTGCTTGCTTGAAGGAGTTGATGTATGGGCTTGGGTTTCCTACTGCGGACAGCTTCTCGCTAAGCTTTCTGTTGATCAGCTCTATGTGTCGGGTGTTCTTCCGGGCTTGTCTAAGTGACCTCTTGACTTTCTTCACTCGGTCCCTCAGCTGCTTGTTGCGCTTCTCCAGGGTCGCCACCTTTTGCTGTAGCTTCTTGACGTGGTCTTCCTCATCAAACAAGGCTTTCTGGACTGAAGAGCACAGGAGCTGAAAAGACATACACAGAAGAAGACTAAACACAGATAAATTCAAGAAGCTGACAGAAGAGACCGATTCCACGTGCAGAAGTCAAACAAGGATGGCAGGTAAATCCCACTTGGACACTGGTGACAGGACATGCTAGTTTAGTGGGATATAGGACCAGTCAGGTGCCCTACACAGCTCTGTCTTCCACCTCAGCCCATGGAGGGCTGCCACTGCTACCACCCCAAAATCTGCCTGATAGAGTTGACTTGTTTGCTTAATGTGTCCCTAACTTTATCACCATCATCATCATCTTAGAACTGCATTGCTGGAAGGAACCGAAGGGATCATCATGACCAGCCCCTGTTAAGGAGGCACAGTGGGGAATCGAACTCACAACCTCTGGCTCCGCAGCCAAAGACCTAAATCACTGAGCTGTTCAGCAGTTCCTGCCCTTGTCTTTTGCTTCTGCAGGAGGCTCACAGTGATCTTCCAGCCCTGTTTCTGATCATGTCTGCACCTGGGTGGTTTCATCAGCATGGCAGCTTCAGAGCTTGTGCCCAGAACTTGGAACAGTTACTTTTCCATATTGCAGTTCCCTGCGTGCACACTCCACAAGTCATGGTGGCCATGCTAGCTATAGGATTCTGGCTGCTGCTCTCCAAAGATGTAACTTTTCCAAATTCTGGACAATACAGAGAAGGAGTGTGCACACAAATGCACGTGACGCATAATCCGAAGGACTGAAATGTCATGTCTGAACTGGACAAAAAAAAAACTCTCCCTCCAAAGCTGTTAAAACCACAATTTACAAAAAATCAGACTAGCAACAGAGAAAGCAAGTCAATTCCCACCTTAAGGAGAGATTACAAAGACAATTTGCATTTTTTTAAAAAAAATGAGCTAATTGACAAATTGTTACAAAGGGAGTAGTGATAAAAATATTTAAACAAATGTACCAGCATGGCATCAAACACATATTTTACTGAAACTGCCACCTCTTCAACAACCTACCACAATGACTCAAGTCTCACTTCTTTTTGTAATTGCTAAGTCATTCCTTTTTATGATTTATTTTACATTTCTCTGACATGCCTACAGATGGTATTGTATTTTTTAAAAAACAGAATTTTTGTTGAAGTTTTATTTTATTTTTCCTCAGTACTAGTATGGAGTTTCTGCCGCACCTCAGAGTTGAAATGGACCTCATAAGAAACATGGGGAGGCCCACTGAAAACAGCACGCCTTCCTCAAATTCCAGCCTCCACAACCTTTCTGTTCAGTAACATCCAATAGTAAAACTTATCATAAATGACACGTGTGCATTTCAGCAGTCCAGATCCACATCATCAGTGGCTGGTGGGCATTATGGAATAGCCAATGTGATGACATGAGGACAAAAAGAAACTTTGATTTCTTGTCACAGATAATAGCATTTTCAGTAGCACTCCAGTGCTCTTTCTAATACTGTATGCTGCTTCACCTCCCAGTGAAGCACATTAACTCAGTAGCACTCCAGTGCTCTTTCTAATACGCTGCTTCACCTCCCAGTGAAGCACATAAAGGAAAGTAGTTTTAGACATTTCTGGCTTTTTGCTACTGCTTAAGTAGGATGGTTACAGAAACAAAGAAGCAGGGGGTTTAAAGCTGATTAGGAACTGTGCACTGCAAGGCCTCCCTTGTTCTTTGGAGAAGGACCCAGGCTTAATGGCTTACCCCTGTCCTGGGGATAACGTAAGTCAAGAGGAGACAGTACATAGTACAGTGACCCCATGTTGCCCCTGAAGCCATTTTTGCAGCTCCCACGGCCTCCCCTTGCCAGAAAAAAATGGCACCACCTGAAATCTTTGATGTTGCTACACACACGCACACACACAAAAAGCCACATTTTCCTCTTTCTCTTTACTTCCAGCTGGGAAGGGGATTCTCTGCCATGCAGATTGTCAGGGGTCTGTGGGATAGAAGGACAATCTTTCAGGCTCCTTGGAGGTCCAGTGCAGCCCCCAGTCCCATTCCTTCCCCTGCCCCCAGAGGTGCCCCACCTTGATCAAGGTGTTGCCTCTGTTTTGTTTGGTGTGGCAGACTTAGCTCATCTCCCTCCTTATCCCTTATATCTCTGTATTTTACTCAAAGCTGATATTGTCTCTTGTCTCTACACGGTACAGTACGAGGACCGAGTTCTGAGGTGATAAAGCAAACTGTACCTTGATAGACTGTTGATGAGGAATCAGAATGTTAATAGGCCTGTAATGAAATAATGAATAGCACAGCAAGGATCAGACTGGACTCTCCCTGAATATCATCTTTCCCTTGTATATGCCAAACAAAGCATGTCAGCCTTTAAGGCATCACAAGAGCCTTTGTTCTTTTTCTTTGAGCCCAGTTTTACTTCATGTCTTTTTGTACGCACACCAATTCCCCACACGGCCCTCCCCTCTTCTTCCCTACCTCTCGGAGGTTCAGGGAGGCAACCTTTGCACAGCCCGGTCTAAATAAATAAATAAGCCCTCTCTTGTTGTAATAATGACTAATTACATGCTATTACATTTAATTTTTTGTTCTCTGTTTTCTAATATATTCTCTAATAAGCTCAAGAGGCTGGGGAGGGGGAAGACTCATTTATCTTGGAGAAACACCAACACCTAACAATGCTCTACAGAGAACAGCCCACCAAAACTCCCATTCCCAGTTGATTACTTTAACCAAGTCAGCCTTACTAATCGGTTCTGACAATTTGCCAGGATCTGAGCTCTCTGCAGGAAGTGCCCTCCTCCACTTCCAATCCCAGGAGATGATTTTGAAAGGCTGACTCAAGGACCACGTGGGGTGTGTGTGTGTGTGTGTGTGTGTGTGTGTGTGTGTGTGAGTTATTTCTTTTTTAAAAAAAACAAAGCATGCCTATTTCAAGCTAAGTGTGATTGCACAGGGCATCTGACTCAGATAAGATTAACTGAGCACCCATTACCCCTACTGCTAGCTGTAAGCTACTGCTCTAAACATCTCTGTATTGTTTGGACAATTTTTAAAATTTAAGAATAACTATGAAGTGTTCTAGCTACATTCTCATTGGATTGAAAGCAATAGGTTGGCCCAAATTCTGTCCATCTCAGGGCCAAACTATATATTTCAGATAAAACATTATTTGAATTTGATAGTCCATTAGTGCTCCAAATACATGATGCTGACAGAACATAGTGGCTGAGAAATCTGACTTGCAAAAAAGGCCCATATTTGCATCCCAAAGACCAATCATAATACAAAGCAACAAAACTAGAGGTGAAAAATGCTCCTGCTCTTACCATCAGATCCCCTCAGCACTTAAGGAATTCATTCTTATCATGACATGTTCTCTGTAATGCACAGTTTAACCCAGTACACAAGCAGCACCTTCACCTTACTTTATTTATGGATGTACTTTGCACACTGTTGGATCGCTACCTAGGCCCTTTCAGCCAATCTGTTCTTAAGACCTATCCAACATTTACGAAGCATATCAGATGCATATCATGCACGTGCAGGTGATATATTTTCATTAATTGAGGCTGAAATGAAGTTACACCTGTGACAATTTCAGTTTGTGTATCTCTGCAATCCATAAAGTTGGCATGTGTTGTGTATATAGATGTGTGCAAGTTAGGAGTGCATGAAAGAAAGAAAGAAAGTGCTGCGAAGAATGACAGATGGGTGTTGGAATGCTCCTGTGCTGTGCTCAGTGCTGACTAGCTGGTGAGAATGAGTGGGGGAAAGTACATCCGGTCAGCTCAGTGGTTTAGGCATCTGGCTGCAGAGCCAGAGGTTGGGAGTTTGATTCCTCACTGTGCCTCCCTGACAGGGGCTGGACTCAATGATCTATAGCAGTGGTCCCCAACCTTTGGCCTCCAGATGTTCTTGGACTTCAACTCCCAGAAATCCTGGTCAGCAGAGGTGGTGGTGAAGGCTTCTGGGAGTTGTAGTCCAAGAACATCTGGAGGCCCAAGGTTGGGGACCACTGATCTATAGGGTCCCTTCCAGCCCTGCAGTTCCAAGGTTTTTATCAGATAGGAGAAGAGCGGCGGTTGGCTTTATCAGGTGATTTGAGAGTCTGTTGAGAGCCAGTTGGGTTTTTGTATAATAGAGAGATGTTTGTTTAGTGTGTTGTGTGAATATTTTAGTGAAGAAATATCAAGGCTGTAACCTCATGGTCAAATATTGAAGGATCTGCTCCAATTATAAAATGGGTGAATTTGAAATATTTTTATGGACCACATGATGCAAAGTCTGATTCAAATCAGTCCAGCCTTTTTTGCTCCCAATGGGACTTTTTTCCCCTCTGTCACTGGGGGGCTCCTATTTTTTTTCCAAGCCCAAACTATTCAAACGGGCATTTATCCATGTGATCAGCTGATTCGTTCTTGTAAAAATGGAGGGGAGTGTCCGTGGGTGACGTTTCAGTGACAGAGACAGTTGAAGCATGATGTTTGGGACAAGAGGAACACCTCTCCACTATATTCTTTCATCTTCCCTCAATTTGTTTTGAATTTCTTACATATATGAGATTAGTGCTAGATTATTCTATCACCTTATCACTGGGTCATCATTATTATGTTCTGTATTTATACCCCTGTCAGTTCCCCAACATATTG